CGAAGGGGTGAAATCTTTGGCTGATGCGCTCAAAGTCAATCAAGTGCAGTGATTGATATGCTTTAACACAATTTTATCAGCTTGTTCATTCTCTTTAGACACTCACCACTCTCGATCTCCAGGGCATCGACATACGTGCTGAAGGGGCAAAATCTTTGGCTGATGCGCTCAAAGTCAATCAAGTGCTATGATTGATACGCTTTCAAGCAATCTCATTAGCTTCTTCATTTCCTTTAGACACTCACCACTCTCATTTTCCATGGTAAGCACGTACACGCTGACGGGGCGAGATTTTTTGCGGTTCATGCAACTGGTAACACAGTGAGTTGTTGGAGGCTGATGGAATTCAGAATGACGTATTTTCGGTCTTTGTAGTGGTGCAAGGTTATATTTCGAGAATGGCAGTAGTATCCGTTAGAACGGTGCGGTAAAGCCGAGAAGCTGCTGATTGTTCTGTTTTCGATTGAAAATAAAAATTTCATCGGTTCACACTTGATTATTTCTCAGAAAGCTTTTTTGTTATCCAAAATCGCTAAGCTCTGTTGCTTATTGTTGCCTGCAGAGATATTGATGTGAGGATGAGGGGATACAAACGGGTATGAAACATGTCAAAGAGTTCTCCCCGAGCGGCGATTGATCGAAAAGCTTGGAGGTCTCTCACGAATGTGTAACAAATCAAGAAAGTATGTCGAAGTTGCATGTTCTTGAGCTTGCATTATATTGTAGTGCCGCATGAGACGGGAAAAGAATCCTATTTGTAGAAGAACACCCAACAGATCACGGAATGTTACGGTCAAGGGGATAAAGGGTGTTTCTGTGTGCAAAGTTAGTTTGATGAACTGATAATCAGTTGATGTTGTATGAGTGAAACTTGCTTGTAGTCTGACGTGAGTTTCCCATATGATATCTAGTTTGAGATGTGTTTAAAAGATCGAACTACCACAATATCCGGAAATTTCGACTTTTGTTAAAGAAGTCGATCATCATGTGGTAAGAAATAAAATTCTGCATAAAGAAATTCGAAAACTTCTCAAAAAGCAGAAGATAGTATATCTTTTAGTGAGTATATCAGTAAGAATTCCTGCTATCGGGATTATCGATCTACATTCAATAGATCATCATCAGGTAGGAAATATATATTGCATATAAAATTTCAGACGTATATACACATCTGGAATTATTTAGAAGGAGGTGTGTTCAATTGTTATAACTAGCATCATTCCGGAGTTTCGACTCTTATTCAGTTTGTTGTTCCATTATTGGTAGATTGTTAGTTATTGATGAAATGAATTTGAAATGAATCCTAAGAGAAATCAAAATGAAAGAAATTCAACTAGACTATGAAATATCTTAAGCATATTTTTACTTGTGGAAGTTTGATTTCTCTACGTTGATTTCACAGTAAAGAATTGTGTCCTATGCCTTTTTGGTTTATTAAATCAGAACTATGTAGACTGGTATTGTATTTGATAAGTTTTATGAATTTTGGGCGTTTTCCGAATTTCCACTTAAATATATTGTGTTTTTTTCCCAATTATTTTGGTGTTATGGTTGTGATATATCTAGAACAATAAAGAAATCGATTAAATGAACATGTATTTTCTAATATGTAAATAAAGAAATTTGCTTTAGAAAAGAAAAACAGGATAAACTGGAGAATACAATGATGATACTGAACACAACAATCAATGGATAGATGTTTTCATCCTACTAATATCTTATTTTTCATGACACAACGCTTCAAAATCATTATAGTGATCCTGATTGGAATGTTGGCTTGCTTGTGTGTTTTGTGGTGTTGTTTCTTGTTCTTCTCTAAATTCATGAATTTGACGAGCAATATCTGCTTGTATATTTGGATTGAAACCATCATTTTGTTTGACAATCTGTAAATATGTGCGATGAAAACAGGACAATACATAATAATTTTAAATCTATCTTATTTATTTTCAGTCTTTACCTCACTTTGTGGAATTTGCACATAACATTCCATACAATCAGATAGATTCACTATCACATTTTCATGTTGACGTTGTTCTTGTTCAGTATAGTGTTCTGTATCACTTGTCGTCTCTACTTTCACAGTTATTTCATTCGATAATTCCAATAACTGTTCAAGACAAAAGAAAAAGAAGATAGAAAACTTTTATTCAATCACTTGTATTTACTTGATCAGGTGATGATTGGAGTGTTAGATCAATGTTGTTGTTAGATATTAAGCTAGAACTATCTAAAATGAAAAAGAAAATAAAAGGTAAACAATTCTTCAAAATCTAAGAAAAGTACTTCATTACCAGTAGAAATTTGTGATTTTTGTACTTGTGATGAATTAGATATAGTTTTTCGGGATAAATGTTGAATAGGAAAGAATATCTAGAAGACGAAATAAAAGAAGACGATAATTGTTTCGAAACTCTATATAGACAGGTGAATAAAGAGAAAACATTTGAAATCTGCCAAGAAAATGATATTACATAGAATACATATCTATCTCTACGATTAAGTTTTAAAAGTTCATTTCTCCATTCCTAATAAACTATTTAATGTATAACAATGTTGAGTCGTGAGAAGCAGCTTCATTTTATCCTTGGATAGAATTGGATGGCTTTTAAAATATTCAGACCATAATTCAGAAAATTGTTGATCAAATTGACATCTTGGACCAAATTCATAGAAATACTTCAAATGAATTAATTGTGCATTATCTTCGAATTTTTTAAGTTCATCTGTAAGTTCATGTTGCATCGTCATGAAATTGAACCAATATTGTCGAAAATTATCATAGTCAGTTTGACTGTTTGAATATCGCATATTTGCCATATGAAAATATTCGAAAAAATGTCGAATATGACTTTCGACAAATAATAATGAATAACCATTGCTAAGGTAAGTTAATTCAAGATAGATTCGTTCTTGACGAAAATCTTCCACTGATGAACAATAACAAACAGCTCGAATCAGAGCATATCGAAGCCAATCACTATGTGATACTTTTGAATGGCCAATAACATATGGTAATGTATATCTATGAATAGTAGTTGGTTGATGAAATACTCGAGTATATAATTGACCATCTCGATTTTCTACATAAGCATTTAAAAATTCGAGATTTGTTCCAATGGAATACTGAAATCGAACATTTATATACTTTTCACAGATTTCCTTTTGTAAAAATGTTTCAAGTGTTAAAGCATTCGACTTATTCCATGTGAAAAAGATTTCATCTTTATATCTATAATGAGAACATAAATAGAATATTTATCGAGAAAAATATATATGCCATTACCTTCCAAATAATTCATTGTTTTCTTTAACTCGATTTAATATTTTCTTTTGCCAGACATACAAATAAATATTTGATAATGTTTCTGTTAATGGCATGGTATTTGGACTACCCTTCGTAAATGTATAGATTTGTTCTTTATAACAGAAGATATTATTGAAGAAAAATAGATGTAAAAGATTTTTAATTGTCATAATAGTTAATTGTTGAAGTTTTTTCCCATGACCTAAATGATCTTCTAAGAAATAACCAACTGTATCGATTACATTTTGATGTGTATCTAATGTATAGAAATTAGTAATTTTAATTGAACAAAATAGAGTGGTTGATTGAAGACGACGTTTTGTTGAAACATAATGATTCAGTTTTTGAATAAAATCCATTTCATCACGATATGTTGTTGATTTTAAAGTTTTATCGACGAAAGGTCATAAGATTTTATTAATTAATTGACCAATATTCCATGTTGTACTATATTTTGAAGTAATAAATGACACTAATGATAATACATCTTCCTAATATATAAATAGAGAAGGAGTTTATACATAAAATCAAAGTTAGTTGACTTACTTCAGAAACGTCGGGTAAGAAATATATAGATGGTACTTTAACTTTACTTGCATCAACCCAAGTAAGCAAAAAATTATGCATGACGGCCGACATGACTAGTCCGAAATGTCCGCAATACCCGTCAGGTCTAGTCTGAAACGTCTTGCACATCCGACATGACTAGTCACCTTTAGGAGAAATGTCCTTCGAACACGTCTGGACTAGTCTAGAATGTCTTTCAACCCCGTCATGCCTGGTCCGTTTTGTCCGTTGAACCCGTCCAAACTAGTCCGAAGTTTAAAAAAGAAGATAAAGGTGAATTCGAACATCCAACCCGACAGTATTCGAAACCTGACGATCATCCTGACGGGAGACTAGGACACTGAAATGAACTGACGCCCATTTACATTCTAAAATACAAAATTGACTCCTTTCCATCCAGTAAACAATCAGAAACCAGTCGATGTCACACGACTTTAACTAGTCTGGAACATCTTCGATAGTAGTTAGGACTATACCGACGCGTCGTCTTCACTCGCCACGACTAGTCCTTTTCTAAAGAGTGTCATTTATCCTGGTCCAGACTAGTCTGAAAGACTCTAATCAAGTCATTTTCTTTAGACTAAATTATCCTATAAACTCGTTTAAACTGATGAATAATGGAAAGAAAAGAAGTAGTATGTAAATAGAAAAAATTTTCAACCTCTATATCATTTGTTAAAAATGATCGATGGATAATCATATGCATTTCGAATCTGGACTAGATAACAGAATAGCAACCGTTTTGTTGCCTATAGTGTACTCAGATTTTCGTAAATTGATAACTAAGCATGATCTATTGTATTATGATTATGGAGATTAATAACAAGCATTGTTATTTTGTATTAAAATTATGTCAATTGTCACTAGTATTATTAGTTTTTTTCTCTTTCTAGAACGACAATCAGAAAGTCTGTCATAGCCAATAGTGAAATCAAAGATAGATAGTATACTTTGTGCATTCCTATCTGTCTTGATATATCTTATTATATTTTGTATTTTCATATATTGAAAATATATAAGAGTATATCAAAACATTAAAAAGTGGAAGTAACTATAAAGAACAATAGTTATCAAGCAACAAGGAGTGCTAACTTATATTTTTTTAAATTATTAGATGTACCAAATTTAAAAAAAAGAGCGAAAAAATAATTGAAATCTTTTTGTAGCATAATTGCTGCTTTAAATATCAGTCCTAATAAATTTTTAAATTTAAAAGTAGATTTAATTGAAACAAAATTAATTTAATACTTAGTTGAAGACACGATGATTTAAATTTTCAGGTAAACTAAATCATGATACGAAAAATCGAGTTTCTTTTCAATATAAATTGCTTTTTATTTTTGCATTTAAAATTAATTTTTTTAACATAACTAATTATTCCTACTTAATAGTAATAAAAAATATTTATCCAAAAAATATAAATTTTTTTGACTTTGTTTTATCTAGTGTTGTTTAATTAATCATATATTTTGTAAACGATAATTTTTTATTTAAATACGAACATCAAAAACGTGGAATAAAATTATATTAAATAGCATCTTAGAATGATTATGTATGTGTAGAGTTGATCTGCTGATCATATGACTCAATGGTCTAAACGATGGGTAAGTAACACATTGTATGCATGTTCGAATCTAACTTTCATCTTTACACATTTTCATTTAGACTAGTCCGAACTCGTCCACTACACAAGACTACAACTTGTTCTATGTGGTGTCGCTGTTACCCGTCCTGGCTAATCTTTTTCTCAAAAAGTTCTCCTACAGGACTGGTCCACCTATTAGTGATTCTTACTAGTCCTAGACGGGTCTTTTTAGTGAAACAGACTAGACATGTCAGAGCCAATGACGCCCATCAGTAACATAGTCTGGACGGGTATTATGGACGACAACTTTTTCCAGACTAGTCATGGTATAGTCCGATTTGAGAAAAAGACTATACAGGACGTCCCGTCAGGACTAGATATGAGACTAGTCTTTTTACCCGTCCTTTGCTCGCCTGGGAATACGTAATTAATTCACTGTATTATTATCTAATGCTTTTTTCTCTCTTAATTTTTCTAATAAGATATTCATTGATTCAATCCTTTTGTTCAAGTCATAATGCTTCTGTCCTTCATTACTGCTTAAAAGTTCATATGCCATTGATAATCTTCGTAGAATAAGTTTATTTTTCTTTAATGACGATCGAATAGTTTGAATTAATTTCTTTTCATAGAGTGCACGCTGTTGTTGCAGATCAGATGGAGTGGAATTAGAAAAAAGATATCGAAATTGATCTTCAATTTTCGTTTGAATTTCCGTTCTTAATGCTTTACTAATATTATATTTAGAAAAAAGATTGGTTAATTGATGTTCTAATGGAACAAATTGTTTTTTTAAGAATATCATCAATAGATTGAAATGAAGATGAAACATACATTTGACATAGAGGAATATAAGTTGGTCCTCGATTTAATAACTGTAATTGTTTGTCATTTAATCCATGTTGATTTGTAGTAATAATCATATTTGAAGAGGGACTTTGTAGATTATTATTATCAACATATCCATGTTGACCTGATTCATAGTATCATAAGAATATCGTAGATAATAATCGATTCTAAAATTATAAATATCTTTCCATCGATAATATATATTGTCTAAATGTTGTTGAATTAAATTCATTAATGTTGTTCGCATGCCTTTATCTTTCACTAGCTTACGATGATTGTGCCACATTCTTGAAAAATCATGATCGAATGCATATTGATTAAAATAATATTGTTCTTCTGCTTTTCTCAACTGTTCGGCTAATAAATCGAGTTTCTTATAATAGATGAATTTTTCTTCTTTGTTTACTACTAATCTCTGTTGAACATTGGTACGTAATAATGTTGCCATCTGCTCATTCGACAAAGTTACCATAGATAATTTATTATAGAAGATTCGTTGTTTTAATTCAAATAATTCTCGTTTAGATTTCTGTTCTTGACGCTTTGTATCCAAAAGGCCTTTGAGCTATTTGAATCTAAATAATAAATGTCACACTAGATATATTGGAAATGGGAAGAATGAAATATGCCTTTACTTGATATCTATTTGGTTGTTCTTGAGAAAATTTTCTTTGTAATAGTTCTGATTGATAATTATATTTAATCAATGCTATTTTTAAATCACATTTGATTTTGATTGGTTTAATGCCATATTGTTGAACATAGCTGTCCACTATCTCTTCCATTTTTGATGTAAATCCGATTACAGAATTTTGCTTATTATTGAGTTGTTTTTCATATTGTTTTAAAGATTGATCTATTTCTTTTAACTGTTGATGTAGAAGATTTTCACAAATTATTTGTTTCTTTTCCTTATCTGTTGCCATTGTCGTTGCTGCTGTTGTTGTCGAAGAAGAAGCAGTAGCAGCAGCACTCGAAGATTTCTGATGTGTTAACATTAATGATTGAACTTGCATAGGCCACACTCGTTGATCAACATCAATTAAATCAGATTCGAATATATTTAATTTGCCTGTTACGGATTCGAGATAAGTTTCTGTAGTTTGTTTCTTAATTAGAAGAATAGCAATTCGGTGTTTCATCATAGCTATTTCTTGTATATCATTCATATTAATTGTACTATTTGTCTTTTTTATTGTTTGAACCAAATGAATAAATGCTTTATACGTTGCCAATAAATATCTTGGTAATTAATCTTTTTCTATACTGATATCATCATCATCATTATCATTTTCGTAATCAATACTGGTTATTTTCATTTTCTTGACAATAATATTAGGATTACATGTAGTAACTAATTGTTGTCGGCGTTTATTAGTATTATCAATAGTAGTAGTAGATACGGTTGTATCCTCATCGTCTTTCGTTGATAGCTGACTTAATTTTTGTGATAGAACAGCTTTTTCTTCTTCTTCTTCTTCCTCCTCTTCCTTATTTTGTTCAATGGTTGTCTAAATAAAGAATAAAATAGAGAGAGAGAGAGAGAGTTCTTCTATGTTTTGAAAATAATAGAGATAACTTTACATCATGTAAGGGAAGTTAGCGAAGTATTCGAGTTTTTTCTAGATCGATTCGCACAATCAACTGTGCCAACTACGGAATGTTGTGTGCCAGATAGAGTTCAATGAGCTCTATCGAATGGTATATTTACTTCTAAAAACGAAATCCACAACAAAGAAAAAAA